GTATAGATGTGGTACATGGAAACGAGCAAAAATATCAACCATTTTGGGTACAGGAGGGGAATATCATCTCACTCACAAGCAATTTCATAGTGCTTGATCTGACAAAATATTATAACAACGGTGGCCAAAGATTCAAGCGTTTGTTAACAAATTTTGTAGATGTCTTGCTTTTCTTAATGGATGAAACCGAAGTGGCACGACTGAGCAAGATAAGGTGAAATTACTTTTATAAATAAATACAAATGTTGTGATTTATTCTACCTTATTGCATGGCTTTAATCAATGTCAATATTTTTCTAGATTGTGGAAGTAAAGAAAATATATTGATGAGCCCGAATTTGACTGGGTCAAATCCAATTTAAATAAACAAAGAAAGTCTAAAGAAGAGCCCAATTGAACCTAGATCGACCCATCAAGAGGAAATCCAAAAGGACATCAAGAGGCGGACGTCCAAGAGACCAACATCCAAGAGGCGGACACCCAAGAGGCCAGCGCGCAAGAGACCAACGCCCAAAGCACCAAGAGCTAACGCCCAAGCACTTGGGGCGCCGCCCAAGGGTTCACCCAAGTCAAGCGCTGCCCAAGGCTGCCCCCTGATCCTCCTACGTCCTTTTGACTCCAATGCAAGGCCAAGTCTACTCTTATTCAAGTTCAAGTTTAAGACGAAACCCAGTCCAGCTCAAGATCTTTCTCCGACTAAATAGGAGCACGAGAGAGAGAACATCGGGATACACACGAAAATCTAATGTTACTATGATTGTACTTATCAAAATAATGGAAGACCTCCCTCACGTCACCGCCTCATTAAGCCTATATAATGTAATACCTCTTCATGTAGAGGACATCTCCTTATGACCTTGAGACCCCTACACCCACCACTCTTCTCTCTCTCTCTCTCCTAAAAGTATTGTAATACTCTTGGAGTTACTCTCCTGGTGATATGATTCATCAATAAAGATATCCGGTCACAACTGTCATTCTCGAAATTAGAGTAGATCATCCGGACCGAACCACTATAAATCTCTGTGTTGATTCTTTATTTATTGTTTTATTATTAATTACTTGTTTATTACTCATTGACTACCTTTACAAATACTCGACTGTTGACCTTGCGCAATACAATTTTGTGCATCATCACATATGAACAACTTTTGAACATGCTTGGGTTTTGTTGAGGTATCAACCGAAGTGGATACAACTGCAACAACCTGCACAAATTAAAAACACAAAAAGATCTAAATCTTCCTCTTCAGCCTTCTTCTCAACTTCTTATACAAGCACTCCCGTAAATTGTATAGAAGATGACTTTGGAGATGCTCCTGCAAAGACCATCAAGCAGGAAGGCTGAGAAAGGAAAGATGAAAGAAACCGCTAGCAATGTACCCACTCCTATTGTAGAGCTCATCCAAAATATGCGGGAAGAGAAACAAAAAAAGGATGAAATAAAAATAAAGCTTTTAAGGTAGAAGATTGAGCAAGATGCAAAAAAAGTGCAACTAGAAAAAATGTAGATGGAAATGGTTATTATGAGCATGGATACAACTGCGATGTCTGAGGAACAAAAACTATAATATTCCCAAAAAATTAGAAATTTTAAAATACGGATTAGGTGGAGGATTTGGGGGTGTTAGTAGCACGTAACAGTATAATATTATGTATTGTTTTAACGCTGTTAGTAGTTGTTTAAGTTTGTATTGTACTCGAAATTTACTTTTTAAATAAATAAAATATGTACTTGGAATTGCCAGTCCCTTATTTGGATAATGAATCAGAAGCATTGCAGCAAAACAGCGGAGAAAACTTTATTTGTACAGGTACAAGTTGTATCGGTTCATCAGAGGGAAAGACAATTTGTACCGGTTTGAGTCAAGTATTTTTCTAGTCATTATAGCTGTTGGATCAAACTAGTCGTTGCATAAAACTAGCCATTGGGAAGATTTCTTATATATAACTAACTATTTTTCTAAATCAATACATCCCAAATACACAATACTTTTGAATACTCTCAACATGTCACTGCACATTTCTAATTCTTCTTTCGACACAGTGGACGAGAGTTGGAACAATGTAATTAATTCTAAGTCTGATGACGAATTGGAATTGTTGGACTTGGTTGTTTTGCAAGAAGAACAGGATAAAACAGAGAGACACAAAAAAGTACATTCTGGTTCTATTAAAGGCCATGCTTGTATCAACACAGGACGAATGGTAAGTCATCAAAGATTCTGTTATGATTATTTTGCAAAACAAATCTAGCATACAGTCCAATCCAATTTCGGAGGAGGTTTTTAATGGGGCAATCTTTTTTTCTTCAAATTGTGAATTCAGTGAAAGCTCATGACCTTTACTTTGTCCAAAAGAGAGATCGAGTTGGTCATCTTGGTTTGTCACCTCTTCAAAAGGTTACTGCAGCAATGAAGGGGCTTGCTTATAGAGTTGCAACAGATGCTATAGATAATTAATTACGTGAGGATTGCTGAGAGTACCTCAATTGAATCATTAAAAAGGTTTGTTCAGACAATTGTTGAAATTTTTTGTGACATGTACTTGAGATGCCCAAACAATGCCGACATTTGTAAGTCGCTATCAGAAGGTGACAAACGTTAGTTTCCTAGGATGCTTGGTAGTATCGACTATATGTATTAGAAGTAGAAGAATTGTCCAACTGCATGAAAATGTATGTACGTTCCCCGAGACCACCATGAGCCTCTGTTGCTTCATATGACCTTTGGACATGACATATTTTTATTTGGAATGCCAAGATCACACAATGATATCCATGTATTGAACCGATCTCTTTTATTTAACGACCTTGTTGAAGGCCTCGCTCCTATAACCAATTATACAATTAATGGTCATGATTACACAATGGGATACTATTTTGCTGATGGCATCTATCCTTCATGGGTGACATTTGTGAAAACAATTGCATGCACCCAACGGCCAAAGACAAAAAAAATTGCTGCAGCTCAAGAGTCCCCAAAGAAAGACGTTGAATGAGCGTTTGGAGTGCTCCTAGCACGTTTCGTAATTGTTTGTGGGCCTGCTCATTTTTGGAATTGTCAAACACTTTTGCTGATTATGAAAGCTTGCATTATAATGCACAACATGATTGTCGAGGATGAACACGGTGAAAACCTTCACTCAATTACAATGCAAATGAGAGTGAAAGTAGAGAACTTGTTGTGTCGCGCGACCACACCTTAAAATTCGAAATCAATTCCACATTTTCAACTCCAAACTAATTTGGTTGAGCACTTATGACAATGTCGTGGGGTTAATAACAACATATAATTTGATTTGAATTTATATTTTGGAATTGTAGTTTTAATAGTTGTTTAAATTTGTATCAGCTAAGTTTAATGAGAATTGTAGTTTCAATAAAATATATACTATTTTTCATATAAAATTTATTTTAAATATATATTAAATTAATATAAAAACAAAATTAAAGATAAAGATTGGATAAAATAAATTATTTTGACATATCGGTTGGAATACAATGTAAGGTTATATGTCAAATTACCGGATAAACCTTCAAATTTAAATTTGGCATATTCATTGGAGATGCTCTGACGTATTACTAGATCTTATGACAGGAGAGAAGCAAAGAGGGAAAGAAAGAAACAGAGAAAAAGGAAAAAGAGAAAAGGTGGAACCACAAATATTTCAATTTATTGAAATAAAATGTAAACAAGTACCCACAATTATTTCCGCCCTTCTAAGTCAACATGGAAAGAAGGCGAAAAAGAGAAGGTGGAGCCATTTGTACAAGATCTTCGAAATGGAAGCTACTATATTGCAGTGCTTTTAGCACATTGTACAAGTGCACCTTACAATCTTCAGGGAGGGAAAAAGTGTAAAGCCAAGGGCATCATCTTAAATCATTTGCTCAATGTATCACATATATATCTGGTGCATTTAGCATTAACCATATGAACTTAGTGTAATATTCAGAAAATAAGCTATGAATTACGACTTTTTATGCCATTCCTACACTAGCATTACACTAAAAAATTACAATCCCAAAATTACGGAACATATGAATATACTTCCACTTCCCAGGTCCTTATAATAGAAGTGCAACATTAATTAAGACACTTGACTTGACACCTTCACTAGATTTTCANAAAAAATTACAATCCCAAAATTACGGAACATATGAATATACTTCCACTTCCCAGGTCCTTAAAATAGAAGTGCAACATTAATTAAGACACTTGACTTGACACCTTCACTAGATTTTCAGTGCTATGTCACCATCAATGTCTTCGACCATGTGAATTTTTGGTAGTTACCCGCCAGAGAATTCTCTGCTTTGTCATCATCCAATGCAAAGTATTCTTCGACCATGTGAAATTTTGGTTGTTACCCGAAAGACTGAGTTTTTCACAATTCTCTGCCAATGTGGAGCTTTATTACCACTCTAGGATAGTTTTCATAAAGTTTTCAATATGAATGTGTTTTACAAAATACGCTTTCAATAGAAAAGTATTTTGCAAAATACCTTTATATTTGAAAACTTGAGTTCAACCTAAGTACTNTTCAATAGAAAAGTATTTTGCAAAATACCTTTATATTTGAAAGCTTGAGTTCAACCTAAGTACTTTTTATTTTGTGAAAATTTTGTCTTTTTAAGGTTAAAAGTTCAAGTTTCCTTTCCCCTCCCCTCCCCTTCTCTCCCCAAAAAAAAAAAAAAAAAAAAAATCTAAGTTNAGAAAAGTATTTTGCAAAATACCTTTATATTTGAAAACTTGAGTTCAACCTAAGTACTCTTTACTTTGTGAAGATTTTGTCTTTTTAAGGTTAAGAGTTCAAGTTTCCTTTCCCCTCCCCTCCCCAAAAATAAAAAATAAAAAAAAATCCTAAGTTTTCATAAAAACTATCGTAGTTGGGAGAAATAAGTTAACGGCAATATGGTAGGAAAATGTCATGACAAGAGGATAGTTTAGACATTAATTCAAGAAAAAATATATTGTCCACAACTAGCAGTCATGGACTCATCTAAATAGAAGAAGGGTAGGAACTCCATCATTTTCAACTACTTCCCTCGTCTTCAACTCAGCACTTTGTTGCTTCTTTTTCTCAATCGAAGAGGAAGAAGAAGGAACTGCCATGGTTAGATCCAAGTTCAAGCCATGCAAACCTAATGCTTCGTTTTCTACGCATGTCGCAGCATCCGATAATTGGTCATCTTCACCAACAGTTTTTGATGGCTTAGATGGAGCAGACAATGATTCAGATGATGTGCTAGGACTAGAAAGGCACCGGTTTTGTGGACGAGGAAGGCTTTGGTTCATCCGATGATTGTTTGGATCGATACCAACACTTATCAGCTTTCTCCTTAGATGAGAATTCCAATAGTTCTTCACCTCATTGTCTGTTCTTCCTGGTAGCCTCCCGGCTATTAGAGCCCACCTAACAGTGCAAACATCATTCATTGATGAATTACTAATTATAGACTATTAGTTGGTATGCCTTTAATGCTTTATTTTTGGTTTGTAAATGGCAATTATAATGTTTACAAGTCATAGAACAATGTTACTCTTAGCAAATTTCTTACCAAATTAACTTCGAAATAAAATCCATGTACAGCGTTGGATCCGTGAGCCTCATAATTTTTTTTATTTTTTTATTCTTACAACCTGCTCATCAACCACCTGCCCATGTTTTTGATTAACAAAATTTGATAAAATTTTTGTTATGTACATGCATTTTTCCGCTCAACAATCATCCAGACAGGAGATAGGACTCTCCTACGCTAGACTGTCAATCTGTCATTTTCATTTTTTTGTACTCATACAAACATAGAAGATCGTACCGGTTGCCAAGAAGGGCGTGAAGCTTAATGATGAGGTCCTCTTCATCCTCAGAAAAGTTGCCTCGCTTGATGTCTGGCCTTAAGTAATTTATCCATCTCAGCCTGCAACTTTTGCCACAACGATGCAATCCTAATCCATTTGAAACAAATATATAATCAGGCAGGAGAGAGAGAGAGAGAGAGAGAGAGAGAGAGAGAGAGAGAGAAAGAGAGAGAGAAACCTGCAGCCTTGGGGAGGGTGCGCCAACAGCCTTCACCGTGAGCTCGGATGTAATCGATGAGCTTCTGGTCTTCTTGTTTCGTCCATGCTCCTTTATTGGTGCCTTCCTTGTCACAGCAAGGTTTCCTCATTGCAACACTTACAAAACTCTAGAGCAAAGTAAACACACCCCGAGAACAGATTGGTTCAAGAGTGAGAAAATGGCATGAAGGAGCATACATATGCCTTGGTACTGTGGGGGAGGACTGGCTGGTTGGTTTGGACTGGTGGTTTTGGCTCTTTAGTGGATAACACTGTCACAATCGATATGGTTAGAATTGGAAAATATTGTGCCCATCAAATTTTAGTTCTCAAATAATGTGACACATTAATAATCATTAGATATTTAAAGTTTGTAGGATTCACCGATCCTATAATTTACATTCATTTGGGATCCAAAACTTGGTAAAAATTTTGTTGAAAGTAATATTGTTGTATTGTAATTGTAATTATTGAATTTTTTTTTATCAAAAACATCATCAGATGAAGATATTAAGTTAGTTTTTTACATCACAAATTTATTATTAATTTGCTTAAGTTAAACATAGTGTGGGTGTTTGGTTCATGTACAATTATTAAACTGCCGTTTAAACTTTTAAATTGTCATACTTTAATACACCATTTTACATGCATGCTAGATTTTAATTCTAGCACATAAAAACTATTTAATTCTCGGGGTGGCCTTCTATTCTATTACCGTGTTAAGCCATCATTTATTCTAAAAATTTAAATCATTNTGTTAAACTACCGTTTAAAACGTTTAAACTTTTAAATTGTCATACTTTAATACACCATTTTACATGCATGCTAGATTTTAATTCTAGCACATAAAAACTATTTAATTCTCGGGGTGGCCTTCTATTCTATTACCGTGTTAAGCCATCATTTATTCTAAAAATTTAAATCATTAAGGAGATTATAACTTAAACATATATATTTTAACAACAACAAGAGATAATATTGGACAATTAGTATCAATCAATGCAATCTATACAAACTATAATATTTAATCATACTCAATATATATCATTTTTTGTTCAAGGCTGAAATAAGGTGAGTCAATTATTCTTATATCAATTATATGTCTGGATTGGATATTAATAAAAGATGAGAACAAACTTACATCATTAAATTCAAAATTAATCTATAGGGGTGGTTTAGTAGTTGAGTCTATTTTCGATAATTCAGATGTCTCAGATTTAACACTTCTCATACACTTTAAGAACTAGTCACCCTTATTCCTGAAAGGACATGTTCTAAACTTGTTCAAGTTGTGGTGGCCAGTATCCGAACTCGAAGAAATAGTCGGCGCAAGCCTGAACACCATTTAGTAAAAAAAAAAATCAAATCCAAAACCCAGTAAAGAGCCTTTGTATCATTTTCAATCTAAGGATATGTTATAAAGCTGTTCGGGTTATGGTGGCAAGTATCTGAACTCGAGGGAATAGTTGGCGCAAACCTAAATATCGTGTAGTAAAAAAAAATTAAATCCAAAACCAAGTAAAAAAAATTTGGCACCGTACCTCCAAAATTTATTACTTTAATGGATGTTTTTATAATATTTGTGGGTTATTTTACAATTAAAAAAATTATCACTTTTGTTGGTGATTTACGACTTTTATAGGTGTTTTTATAACTGTTATAGTAACTATTTTTATCATTTTTTTTTTGTATAAAAAATTTATCACTTTTATATGGGCATTTTTCTGGCTACTGTGGTAAATATTTTTATCACTTTTTTTTTGACACCACAACAATAATAAAAATACTCATAATAGTAATAAAAATACTTACAAATATAATAAATATTGACACCGTGCCAAAATTTTCATGTTTTTTAGCACGGTAGACAACTCCTTCAATATAATACCGATTGATTCTATATATCAGCAATCATATGAGATTAAGGTTGCACCGTGTATGCAGTGTTTTTTGATGTTTTAACATCTTCTGGATATAAACTCGTGTTATACGACTGATCCATATAACATGATTCAAACATAAGATTAAACTAGCGTTGAAATGTCATTTTGTTTTATTGTTAGGTATAATGTCCTTTTCTTAGGCCCATTCATGCCTTCCGGCCAATCACTGCTCTTTCTTTTTTTTGTCGTGGGTGACCATTTTGGATGATGATGGGAGTCTTGGCCATCTAGTAAACTCAACCAAGGTAATCTATTTGTCAACTAACTAACCAACTTGTCAGAGGTAATGCACTTGGTGGGTCCAAATCACATATATGATAAATCATTCGTGACAAAAATTTGGTGAGATTCGACATATATAAATGAGTCCCACATCGGTAGGCCCAATGGTCAGACAACTTAAATATTTGTATAATACCCTTAAAAAAAAAGGGGTCTTATATAATGCTATAGTTTTTATGAATTAATATTATATATGACTTAAAAAATTTAGAATAAATTATATTTTATTCTCTTGAACTATTATCTATATTTTATTGTGTACTTTAAATTATAAAATTTTTTACATTGTACCTTCAAATATTAAGTTTATTTCATATTACTTTAATAAATTATGACAAACTTAAAAATCTATCAAATGAGAGAAAGAAACCCAAAGACATTCTCGTCAAGTGTCTAGTACTATTTTATTTTACATATNTAAAATATTAAGTTTATTTCATATTACTTTAATAAATTATGACAAACTTAAAAATCTATCAAACGAGGGAAAGAAACCCAAAGACATTCTCGTCAAGTGTCTAGTACTATTTTATTTTACATATTTTAAAATAAAATAATTGTAGGAAAGAAAAAGAAAGCCGGCCAGAGGAAGAAATTTTGGAGATTAGGAAGGGTAAAGTCATTGATGAGTGTTTCCTTGATTTTTGACTTATGCGTGTGTAATAGACAATTGTTTATTGGCAGTATAGACCATTTACATGCGCATTTATCGTCAAAAAATTGACAATCGTTATATATTGGTGTGATATAAAANGGATAGACCATTCGCATGCGCATTTATCGTCAAAAAATTGACAATCGTTATATATTGGTGTGATATAAAATAAAATTTATATTTTAAAGTGTAATATGAGAAATTTTATAATTGATGTGTAAAGTGAAACAAGGTAATAGTTCAAGTGGACAAAGTATAATTTACCCAAAAATTTAGGCTCAATTAAATTAATATCATAAAAAAATCACACGAAAACAAAAAAGTCCAAACTAAAATTTTTTTAAAAAAATTACAACCATCTTTCCCATTTTAATCAATATTTTACTCTTTCTAGCTTTTAGAAATCGTTTCAACAGTCACTTCAAGAGTCAACCTGGACAATTTTATTTTTTTGAAGATTTTAGGAAAGTCTGCAGGTACTCTATCTCTTTCCTACCTATTATTGGCATCTCTCTCTTGAAAGAAGTTTTTTAAAATTAAAATTTATAAAAAATTAAGATATAAATATATTGAAAGGAATCTGTATACTTATGATTTAATTAAATTGTAGCCATCTTTTTCCTTATGATTTAATTAAATTTTAACCGAGGGAGTGGAAATTAAGGACACTCAGTTTTTCTATCCACCCAGGTTGCTACGGACACCGGAAATAAATAGGTTCAACTACCCAAAATTATTCTAAACTTTATATAAAATTTTCAAATGCTTCATTAGCTGATGCCTATTTGTACTATTTTCAATCGAGCAATGCTATATGGAGTTAATTTGAGAATCTAATGACTCGACTTTAATATAACCGTTAGATTAGTTACGAGTTCTAATATTAGATCGAGTTCACTACCGATCCAATAATTATATTGAATTACATTTTCATATTAAGTCCCCAAATTAGAGTCTAAATAGCATTTTCCTTTTCAATCATACCCGGGGCCGAGGCAAGGTAGGGGTAGTTGCATTCATCCACTGCAATCTTCAAAAAATTTGGGGTTTATTTAAAATTTTAAAAAAACCTAAAAAGTTTAAAACTTGTACACACAAAAAATTTGCAAAAATTTACGGGGATTATTTCATAAATTTAAAACTTAGAACGTCAATGTATTATATTTTCTTTGAATTCGATTCTGAATTCTATTAATTAGATATGGAATAATATGTTAACCGATAATCTAAGTTCGAATCGATTATATTATATTTGAATCATTATGATTTTGATATACACTACTCGAATTTGATTGTGATCCTGGCTGATTTTGTAGATTCATATATGTAAATATATGAAAAGATTGAGTTTTATTTAATGAAATTGAAACAAAATTAAAATAATCGAACTGGGTTAAGAAATAATTTTTAAATAGAACTTGGATCACCTGAAATTTCGATCCTAATGACAAACCTCTCACTATTTATTTGCAAGTTGTGATGAGCTTTGATGTTTATCATTTGGTGGTTGTCTTGAAACCCATGGCTACCCCACTGTTAGGAAACCCTGGCTCCACCTCTCATCGTCTCAGCACTGTTGTACTGCGTCCAGCCATGACAGTTGTTGCCCGTTCCAATCAAGAATTGTCGTGTGAAAACTGCTAATCATATAAGGTTGGAAAGACTGGTGGATGGATGAATATTCCTCAATATTGTTACCTGCTGCAAAGAGCATGAGGGCATGATGATTCATTCCTAAGAAATGCAAGGACCCCAAACCAGCTCACCAACCAGTAAAGAATCTGTTCCCTACTCTCTCTCTCTCTCCTTTTTTGTGTGTGTGCATAAGCTTTTCTTAAAAGAAGAAACTGATATAGAGGTTGGTACAGAATGGCTTTAATTATAAGAGTTTCACAAAGGTGTAATAGTGTGGTTGAGCTATTGTCTCAATTACTCTAATTTGGGCGTAGTAGATTGGGGACCTCTATCTTCTATGAGTCATGCTCCAACCTATCAACGGATTGAATTGAGAACGGATTTCTTTTGATTTGAATTGAAAAACTTAATTCAAATTCAACTTAATTATTTATCAAATTTTACTTTCAAGATTTGTAAAAATTAAACATTTGAACGTATGAAATTCAAAATGGATCACAATTGTCTCAGGTGCTGATATATTTAAATTTGAATTAATGAACTACGACATAACTTATGCGAATTTGAATTCGAATAATCTTACACAACAATAATT